TAGTGGACAGCCGCCGTTCCCCGCACCGCGCGTTTACGTGGCCCGCAAAGTACAAAGACGTAGAAGGGACGGCCGCCATGGAGGAAACCGTCCCGGCCCTTCCCCCCCGTCCTCGTTCAGCAGAGACAATCTGGACTCCACGTTCTGTGGGATCTCATATCTGGTGCAGCTAATCCGCTTTCACTCCACAACCGCCCCCAAAGAGCCGAGCGCGTTCCGGCGTCTCCGGCGCAGCAGCTGAGCTGGTCCCACGTGCCGTATTTTGTATTTTCTGCTTATTTATAGGAAGTCGCGTCGCTGACTCGTGTAGCATTTCATGAAGTACTGGTCCATTTCTATGGAAAATAATGGCGCTCGGATATGTATATGTGAAGATATATTCCGTTTCTGGTTTTTTTTTTCTTTTGTTTAAAATAAACTTTTTGAAAAATTAAAATGAATCATTTATACAAAAAATTGGCGTGACGCTGGTCTTTCCTGTCCCGCCGCGCGTCTGGAAAAGGTCGAATGTCGTTACCGGCGGGCTCATAGAGCTGCCATGGGCTGTCCTCATCGACGGAATACTCCGAGGAAGAAGATGTCAGATTATAAATCCGACACGAGCGACATCCGCACACAATGTACCGGAGCAACTGGACGACGTTTCGCTGGCCATCCGACTAGCTTTCTCCATTGTCTGCCACATACAATGCGGTTCTAACTCCTCTCCTCTGTGTGACATAATAACACCCGCTAGCTCCAATCATACAAATGCACACCTTCCCTCTAGTGAGGGGCTCGGCATGTTCACAGCTCCGCGCGCCGAGCCTGCCAGGAAGCTGACAGCGCCAATCGCAGGTACTGAGACATGTTCCCGGTCCGCAGCTGCAGAGATCGGGATATGTCTCAGTGCCTGTGATTGGCGCTGTCAGCTTCCTGGCGGGCTCGGCACGCGGAGCTGCGAACACGCCCGAGCCCGTCACTACTTCCCTCCAGGACGTCTCTGATCTGCTCTCTGATTGGAGCAACATTCACCCTATGTATTCCCAGATCATTTTAGTCGGATGACCAGCAAAACGTCTTCAAGAAAAATACAGAGAGTCCGGTTGCGTTGATTTATTTGATACGGATAGACCATGTGACCCGGATGAATGAACCTTCACAGGCAACATGAGCGACGAGAAAATATGAAAGTTTTGGCCAAACATATCAGAGTCCATTAGAAGGGTGAGATGAAAGTACGTGTCCCATCCCCCCATCATTACATCTCTACAATACATGACATTTCCCCGAGTGTTATCCTTTTAGAGAGCCAGCAAGTGCAGAAAAACACGCTGAAGAGCCAGCTCTGAACTTTCTGTTTAGGGAGAGCCCAGGGAGTTCTCCACTCAATCACAAGCACTGTAGTCAGCTCTTCCCTGGTGGACTACAGAACTCCTCCTTCTGTTGTATGGATGAGAAGAAGGAGAGGTGTTCAGTAGTCATGTCCTAGAGCAGGGGTAGCCAAACTCCGGCCCTTCAGCTGTGGTGAAACTACAAATCCCATGATGCATCTCTCTCTCCGGGAGTCGTGGCTGTGAGAATCTTGCAATGACTCATGGGATTTGTAGTTCCACCACAGCCGGAGGGCCGGAGTTTGGTTACCCCTGTCCTAGAGTCAGGGCTGTCCCCACACTATTCGTTTTGCTACCGGGGGGGGGGGGGGGAGGGGGGTTG